CAAAATTATAACACAACATCATACCGGTATTATAAAAATAGAAAAATGAGGTAATGGTAAAAGAATCTTTAAAAATAATGACGCAGGTACTAAGACGATTTGAAACCAAAAGGGCAAAATGTAAATTGGGTCAGTTTGCATAAAGTGTGTAGTGTAGTAGGATTAGTTTAACTATACATCACACACATAAACCAGAACCCTGAGGGCATGTACAGTATGTTCCTTTGTACACAAAAAATAAACTCAAATTAGCGAATTGCAATAACCAATAGATTGTATATTTTGAATAATTGTGTATAATTATTAATTAGCATTTACAGAGTCACCAAAGTCGTTCATTGCATCCTACCAAATTTGAATCTTGCCAAATATCAGTTATCGTCGTAACAAAGTGTCTGACCTACCACCGTTGTTGTTGTGATAATAGAATTCTATACTAAACAAATTTGAATACTTTTACTTTTTAAATCTACAACAGAGCCCATACATCAAAGAAGAATGAAGAACCATAATACGGTATTACAGTAGTACAGACACACACACACACACACACACTCGCGAACAAAGCCTTGGCCGGGTGACAAAAAGCCCTATCCTATGCCTTAAGCTATACCTAGGCTATATAAAATTCACCAAGTTTAAAGTGAAATTTCTCTAAATTTTGCAGTATATTTCATCTTGTTTTCATCTCAGATAGGCCCCAGAAATACAACAAAACATGCAAGTAAGTGGTTTTCTAAAACATAGTGATTTGAATGTGTGGTTTATATACACAAAAGGAACTGATTATCATCAGAGAAATGATAATCCAGAATTTACCTCTCGTCTACATCTACACAGTACAATCACTCACGCCACTGTGTTTGTTTACAACATTCAATGTGTAGTGTCACGTGAGATACATCAATATTCTGTAAAATTAGGCCTAGTGAGTGTCTATGGTACGAGAGTTCGCACCAGTGTCGGATTGTCAAGGCAAGCAAGGTATGCAGTGCATACCCTGGCTAAAACAAATAAAAAAAATATAGTAGTAGTTTCTCCGTTTTATTTAGCATTTCTTAGTCAGGATCTTCTATATACACCCTAAATTTTCAAGTGGAATGCTATTCATTGGAATAGCAAAGTTTTTCAATGTTTGGCCTACTTTGGTACCTAGGATAAGTCACAGTCGGGCCTATCACATCCTACTTAGAATTTCCGCATGGCTGGTCTTTGATATCAGCCAATCACTTATTCATTGAGTCAATGGAAGTCAGAGCATACCCTACAACGCTTAAATTTGCTATTGTGACAACCGTGTGGTGGCGTCAGAATAGCCAATTTAACACTGGAATAGAAGCAGTGCTTCCAAGAGTATGTGCGCATGCTCTTCTCACAAATTGGGACCTCCACTGCCGATCGGGTATTCTCTCTATAAGCCTAATCTGAATCAATTAAAGTTTAAATATATTTATATACATATGACCGGTATAGAAGAAACTTTGAATTATTATTATTTGAATTGAAATTTGTTAAAATACAGGAATAAAAATTCTTTTGAAGAGAAGACAACCATGCCGGTATTAAAAATAACATGCATTTTACTTTGACTATAGAACGCTATCTGATTCTGTAAAGTAGTAGGCTTACAAACTTTTCCTATCACTAGCAGGCCCTAGCATATAAGTGGCAGGATTTTAAATGGAAGGGAGCTGATGGTGTTTCGAAGGTATTGTTGGGGATCGGTGATTATGAGGGGATAACTCGCAAAATAAGGTGATTTTTAATTACTTGAGCATGATTTGTGGGCAGGGGGCACGACTGGGTAATGGGCGATTATTTTTTTTTCAGGGGTAGGTGGAGGACATGCGGCCCCTTGTACATCCTAGATATGCCAATACCTAGCATACCTTGCAATTTACCCTACGGTCTGCCACTGGTTCGTACTAATGCCACATGGTCTGCCAATTTTCCACTAGCTGTACTTTCGTACTCATGGATAAAAACTTTGTTAGACTCGATTAGCCGTTGTCAAGTAAAGGTAAATAAACATCGGCTATGTTCTCACACGGCAGCTAACAGTTAGCAGGATCCGGATACTAAAAAAAATGATGATCAAATCATCACTGGCCAATAAGAAACTAGAAATTGTAAACGCGTACATGTGATTGGTTGATGATAGAAACCGCTCAACTTGCTAACCGATAGCACTTGCTAACCGTTAGTGGTATCCAGATAGTGCTCGGGCGTTCTCACGCAGGTGCTAACGGTTAGCGCTAACAGTTAGCTCCCAATCCGGATACTAGGGCTCTTGTGAGAACCAGGCTAATGAGTGACAGCTGAGTTATCATTTGTTGTAATGGTCTTTTAAATTATGAATTCTTAGTTACCACCCTCAGAGATTTGAAGTGCGTGACTACACCAGTTTCTAGGGGCCGGGGGCGCTCGGCCCCTAGGGCACTCTTTAAGAGCCTATTTGTTTACAAACATTTTGTGCACATACTGTACATCTCACACACACTTCACACCTGCATCATCCATGTTTTTCCACTGTGACCTAAGGTCACAAAGAAACTAGAAAACACATTATTCACATCAAATACAATAAATAATACAATGTGAACACAAGTACAGAAGTCATACTCCCTAATCTTTCTTTTAATAGCCATTTAATTTGTTGCTTTTGTGGTATACCACAGGAAGTTGCTACTCAACCCACAAGAATTATCCGCTGTACAAATACTCTTTCGCATGTTTTACGCAAACATGAGGATATTTATATTTGTTTAAGGTGGTCTAAGTTGAACAAAGCTGACATTATCAAACCGTGGAGGAGATACCAAAAATAAAATATTTGTTCAGTAGGTACAAAGGGACAAGCTACTTCCTCTTAAATTTCTCTGACAGGACAATATGTACAAAACATACACTACTGCACAAGGTTAAAAATGTATGGATTCATAAGCCCCTATCGCACTGGACTTAATTTGGTCAAATTAACCGAGTCACTGGCTAAATTGACCAAAAAAAATCCAATCCGAACGTCGGTTACAATTCCCTCAGGTTTAAATTAACCAAGTCGAATGGTTAATTTTACCGACCTCAGTAAAACTTACCACGGTCTCGGTTAAACTAACCACGCTGGTCAAGAAGTCCAATCCGAACGTGCAACACGGTTAAAACTTCTTCCATGTTGACACCGCTCGAACAAAACCGGAAGTTGAAGTCACAAACTAGCGCCCTAAATAATATTTTTTATACACAAGGTTAAATATTGGTAAAACTAACCGCGTGAATAATCCAAGTGCGAACAATGGTGAAATGTACCCATGACTTTGGTTAAAGTTACCCTGGTTAAATTTACCATTTTTTAAATCCAGTGCGAACAAGGCTAAAGACATAAAAATCTTTATGATAACAATCATTATTTTATTATTTACTCGTTCAGTAGGAGGAGGGGGGGTCAAAGAATATGTTTTAAAGCCCTTTAACCCTTTTGCAGCGTTCCCCCGGTACTACCAGTGATAATTTGACGTCGTTAAACTGCCTTCCCCCGGTACTACTGGGGGACTGCAAAATAATTCTTTAAAAATACTTCCTTGTACTGACATCCGCCCTCTATAATTTTTCTAACAACTAGAATATTTTTCATCATTGAAAATTGTGTTTACCAGCAAAATAGTGGGTGCACAACCTCGAAAGAAGCTATATAGTGTGAATGAAGTTGTGGATCAGATTTTTGCTGACACAGATAGTGAGAACGACTGCGATTTGGATAGTTCCATGAATAAGCTTTGATCAGCTGACTATAGTTCTGATAGTGATTCTATAGATGAATTTGTGGATTTGGAGGGCCTTGCACAAGGTAGCCTACAGTAGGCTTAGCTTTGTAGATTCTGGAGGTGGAAGTAATGATAATAATGTGGGCGATTTAGGCAAAGGCAATCCCCTAGTCCTTTGATTTGCGTGTATTTTTTTATAAAATGATGAAAAAAAATTAAATGTTTGATATATTCATTCATATTATGTATCTTCATCATAATGAAGTGGGAAAAAAAACATGTCCCATAAAAATTTCTTGGAAAAAAAGTAGCTTTTTTCACAAATTTGATGAAAAACGGGCTCCAATAAGGCTACCATTAGGTCACATGACCACATAATTATGAAAATCACCAATTTTTTTTCTCCCCCCTAACATAGGCCAACCACTTGCCCACCCTACAACACAAAAAAAAATTCAAAATTACCTCTTTTAGTATTTTTTGACATTTATTTCAAAATCACCTTTTTTCCTTAAAAAATTGTCCAGCACAGAGGTGGGACAAACACTGTGCAGTGAAAGGGTTAAAAATTATGAAACTAGACTGGGCTATAGTTTATATTGTTAGTTAATATAAATGACAATGTGTAACAAATACTGTACAACTAGAAAAAAAAAAAAAAGGTAGGTAGGGGCCATGTGACTATCCTATGTGCATGTGTGTTTACAAAAATATCATAATCGTATTTCGGTACAACAAGTTTTCATATCAGACTCGATTTTATATTGAGGTCAGTATGCAACACTTTATTTAAAAGTAAATTTGTAATGTCAATGTGCCCTCAGGATTACAATCCAAGAGGTTTTAGCTTGCTCGCAGGAGGAGAGGAGACAGTGCCAATTTTTGTGTGACTCGTGAGAAGCTTGGGATCGCTGCATTCTGGCAATCTAAAAAATTTGAAAGCAGGGCTCTGAGATTATAAAGGTGTACATTTTAACAACAATTTTTTAAACTTTGATGCAAACAGTTGTGGAAAGAACACAGAAATTAAACATATATTAATGCTAAGAGTGGCATTGACCCATTTAGAGGTTTCCAAAATACCATTGCTAGCTTTGAATGGAACAATAATTTTGAAAGAGGGAAAAGTATTAGAGGTGATAGTGATAAAATGAATACTTGAGATAGAACAGTCACAAATGAACATTAATATAAAAAAACAAGATTAAATTATAGAATAGACAGCATAAGAAAGCATACTCTGATTTATACTGTAACCTTGTTTGATCAGCAATCACAGACTGTGAGAACAACCTTTGTTCAAGTCTCCTACATAAATAAATAGTAATTTGTTTTTTAATGTTTCCTTTGTTGATTATGAAAATTGTGATACTGTCCATGATAAATTAGCTATGTTTAACTGTGAGAAAAACATTCACAAGTTTCAAAGTGGATTATTCCTTTCAATGTTTCCTTTGTTGATTGTAAAAATTGTGCTATGAAACTTCTTATTATTGTACCTTTGAGCATGGAGGTATTATTGAGGGAGATCACTCAGCAACATATTCCTTTGATGCAACAGACCAATGTGTTCCCCGCCTTTGTGTGTCTTTCTTATAATTAACATTTTTTTCGTTAGCAACAACTTGTCAACAACAGGCTTTTATAAACTTTAGCACGCAGTTGTGCGATAAACCGTTTGATGGTAACTCATTAGATATCTTTAAAACTAACAATGTTCCAGATTGGATTTTTTTCAGTCTTTTAGTATGTTATTACACAAGTATATTTCAGGAACAGATTCCGCAAAATATTTCTGTTGCAATTAAGTGTTCATTATAATTTTGTCTAAAGATTGACTGAAATGACAATAAAGCTGAGGCAGTGAAAAACTACTGACTTTGATTTGAATTTTTGAATACTTTTAGGCCACTCTCATTCACCCTAAAAAGAATTAATTATTATAATCCTCAATCGTTCCTTAATTAATATCTGTTAAAATTAGAATTATCAAGTTTTATCCAATTTATGGAAATTCAAGTTGAAATATACCATACTTTAAAAGTAAATGTTTCTTTAAATTTGAAACTCCAAGTGATCGCCTCTCAATAATACTTCCATGTTTATAGTAAGATTACCACCACTTTTAGTTCTCTAGATTTAACTTCCCATCTAAAGTTCTCTTCATCAGTAGTATAGAGAATATCACTAAACTATGTAGTTGAGAAGGTGGTATGATCAAGCCAATACTATTTTCAAGTACACAATAAATTTATAATATACCGGTAAATACTTACGTCATTGCTTTGTTTAACCACTGCAGGTATTCCACAAGTATATCAAGACCCAAATTTTCTTCGTTCAGAAATTCCCTCACCCACCTGAAATTTACAAATAGTATACAAATATGTACTGGATTGAGGGGCATCAGTAGTTCAAAATATAGCCCGAGGTGATCTGGACGCTGTACCATGTTGAGAACATATTACAGCTTCCAGATCACCAAGGGCTATAATTTGAATAACATACTGCATACAGAGATTTAACAGGCATGTGATTGGCTAAAAAGCGGGTACTAACTTCAACTATCACTCCTATGACATTCATAAATTCCCGGGTAAAAAAGTACTATCACGTTAAATGATAGTACACCAAAAGAAGTTCTAGTTTACAAAAAGAAAAGACAGAAACCTTGGATCAGAAGAAAATCTTGGAGGCTAGTTGAAGAGAAAAGAAATCTGAAGAATGATATAGAGCAGACCAAATAAAGAAGGCTGAACATTAACAAACAGCATAAAATTCACAGTATAGCACTCTCTTACTGTGACTGCGTCTGTGTTAAGTGTTGGATAGCCTAGTGCCAGTAAGGCCTCCTTTTACATGCATAGTGTTGTAACTTGGACTGTAATTATTCTAAAAAAAATGAAGTATTACTGTAAAGTATTACGATTATCTTCATTCTTTGTTATGTTACTTTCAACAAATTCCAGATGTGTATAACTGTATCTAGCTACCTGATCTCATTTATTATCATCGTCAATATACTCTCTCATTCATTAGATATGATATCCACATGAAGCTCCTTCATAATAAACAAAATTCAAGATGAAAAAAGCCAAAAATAAAAAAAAAACCCACAGAATTTCTGTGGATCCACGGAATTATCACATGCCTGATAAAGGATTGACTGCTAGATTGATATGGTTGATTGATTGATATCTGTGACTTACTGAATATTATTTGTACGTAATGATATTTCAAGATCACGTAGGTTTTGAGTTGATGCGTCAAACATTTTCTTTCGTTGCCTCTGTGAAAATTTAAAAATGACAAATGATAATCTTCACCAAGTTCAGGAGTCTCATTGTGATACAGATACATACTTTGTTCCTAATAATGACAGAAAGAATATAAGTAGGAAATATTATTTTAATTATTAAAAATGATGGATATAATTTATGATTATTAATATGATTTGTGTTGGTCCCTGAATTTCCTCAAATGGATAAATTTCATGTTTCATAAACACATCTAATAATGAATCAATAAATCAATATATCAATAACAATAATAATCATCCTTTGAAGTGAGTTGTTAACACGAAATGATCAATGAAACCAACTCAAGCTAGAGGGTCATAATATTCTGACTGAAGAATGTTAAATTTGTACAAAAATACATGATGTAATTACTGCGAAGGTGTTGCAAGCCTCTGGTACTAATTAGCTGGAAGGAAATATTAATTATATACAGCTACATATAAAAATAAAACAACAATTTACACAAATGATTCATAGATCACATCCTTTTCATGCACAACACAACAGTACATTCTAGGTAGCATGAATGCTCATATTAGAAAGGATACTTTCTAGAAGCTTAATACTATTTTCAAGCATAGCTAGCTGCAGTGGATTTTAATATTTTAATAGATGTTAGGCTGTGGTTATACTAATAAGAAACTTTTTACTCATAAGACATCATATAAATATAGAGGTAAAGAAATTGGATAAATAATGTAAGCTCCAATGCTATTATGGAAATAGTTCTTAAAATTTAGAGTTAAGCAATATTTTGTTATATTTTATTATCTTTTTTTCCAAGATGGAAAACCCTCTGTATCTTAAAGTGAATTGGGGCTATACAACTGGATTGAGTGATTTATAATGCAAATACCATATTCATTTGAATAAACACCCTGGGGCTTTTTGTTTTGTTCGTTTAGTGTTGGGGTATGCAGGATATTAGGACCTAGTGTAGTAACGCCCCTACCACTTGATGCATAGTTCGATTAGGACTGGGGTATGTGAGTTATTTGGACCTAAGTGGAGTAAAATCCCTACCCCCTTGATGCATAGTTTGATTAGAATTGTTGTATGCAGGTCATTTGGACCTTAGTGGAGTAACCCCCCTACCCTGTGATGCATAATTACCATTGTATTGCTTTATTGTGTTTTTTTGTGTGGATATTGGCCCTTGGACATGTATACTCAAATTAAACGTCACTTAATTTCACTGTTAATATGTCAAGAGGTGTTATTGCGTGATGGTAAAGTCTTTCATGGTAACCAAGGTCATGGTGGGAGTGGGGGGAATGGAATTTATTCAAGGAAAAAATAACCACCACAGGGCATATATTTCAGGTGAGGTGTTTATTCCAAATGAGGCTCTACTAGATGGAGTTTTTTTCGATAAATTATCTGATTCTCATGGAAAATTTATTGGAAACTGTGGGCTCCGTTTCTGCAGCAAAAAATAACAAAATGGCTGCTTTCCGAATTTTTCGGGTAATACTGTAAGTGCTGCGGAAACACGCCCTTACTTATTTTTTTTTTACAAGATAAAGGGCCTCTGCATAGAAAACTTTACAGTTAATTTGGGCTATACAATTGGATTTACTGTTAGTTTTAGAATGTAAAAAATTATCATGTTTGCCAGATAAATCTATAATTACTTAAATTATTATCATTGAACTTTTTATTAACCTATTACAAACAATCTAAATAATTATGATGCTCAAATAATCATAAAAATAAACTGTAATGACAAGTAATTAGGAATTTCTCTGGCAAACATAATAATTAGGAATGACCCATTATTTGATGTAATATCCATAATTTTTGTGCAATATACATATATTCTGTTACATTTACAAGAATTTTGATTGTACTTCTTGTTAATTCTGCCATTTGTATTACAAAATAAGAAATAAATAAAAACAAAAACACTAAACTAAACACAAACTAATGATAAAACAAAAATGAATAAACTAACCAAAAATAAATCAGATTTATACCATAAAAATATATATAATTATAAATGACACCTAAAAACAAAACAAGCTAAACCAAAAACAAACTAAAGACAAAACAAAAATGAATAAATTAACCAAAATAATTCAGATTTATACCATAAGAAAATATATATAATTATAAATGATGACGCCTAGATTACTAATGGTAAATAAAAAAAAAATCTATCAAATGAAATGACATCAAAATTAGTATTGAGGATGAGGATGATATTAACACAATTAAACAAATATAGTTACAATGACTAATACTGTAGTAATATTCATTACAAAAAAAGGACAAGGAGGGTGATAATAACGACACATAAATTTTATATATTGGCACTAAAACCAGCACAATCTATTTTTAATTAGGAATGAATATTACCGACGATCCATGCAAGAATTACACTAAGAGTTAGGAAGGGTCCCTGGGGTATTACAATTGCCAACTGGTTATATTATTCTGATTTTTATTTTTAGACAATGCTACATTATTATGTTGGTTGTTTTGGAGTTTTATAGGCATTGTTAGCACCTGTGGTAGTCACTATATACAACTATTGTATATCTTAAATTCATTTGCACCTGATTATTAAATATTTACAATATACTGATAATTAACCTTTAACCCTATTAACCTCATCAACTATTACTGTGTCAATATTATATGGAACCAGATTAAACCGCACTGATATCAAATCTCTAGCCAGTAATCATTAATAAAGTTAGATTGTGTATGAAGTATGATACCATAATTAAAGTCCTTTTGATTCAAAAACATGTTAGTGTAGAATTACTTTTCACTTTTTATAGTCAAAATAGCTCTACCCATAAGTACCACCTTAAAAAATCAGGTCATTTTGATACAATATTAATGTGATATTTTATAACTACAGCATATTATCATATTTATTGTACCCATAATAAATTAAAATTGTGTGTTATAATCTTATCTTTGACAAATTTTATTGTAAAATTGTATTCGATCAAATACATAAGTCTATATATAATTATTAATAAATTCTTTTATGTTGTCTTTTTAACATCATAAATTGCCCGTTTCAAATGTATTTGCATTTTTACAATGGACATAAAAAGTAAATCGGTATCAGTATCTATTGACATTTACTCTGATTTTCTAATTACCTCTAATACCTTGATAATACAATCTACCACCAAGCATCTCTGCCTAAATTTAGGTATGAGTATTTTATTATCAGCTGATCTATAAGTGTAAGGATACCCTCTAATATAAAAAAAAAAATTAAAAAAAATAAAAAATAAATAAATTTTAATATCTGAAGAGAATGTATGATCATGCTTTATTTTATGAACTACTTTACTACTTTTCTATAATTTTAATGCTTACTGCTGTCAGTTCTAATAATGTTTTTAAGCCTCATGACAAGTCACAGACTGGTTGCCTAGATTTCCATATTATTTTCCCATTTATTTACCACTAAAAATAAAACATACACATTTCCCCAACTCCCACTTCTCCACGCTTCTTAGCAAATCCTTTGCTGCTCTTCTCAAGCGTTTCTACAGTTACGAGCACAGACAGACTACTGTTACTAACTCTGTCCAGATCAGCAAATTTTCTTTGACAAAAAACTGTTATGCCCATATATAGTCATGATGTGCCCATATATAGTCATGATGTGCCTATATATGGTCAAGTTGTGATGTCATCATAACCAAATTTTAGCATGTCACATATTTTTGTCAAACCAAATTTCATAGTCTGGTGAAGCTTTAGTAAAGGACCCGTAGGATGCTTTCTACTGCGATAATTCAGTCAAGACAAGTAGCCTAGTCATTTATATGATTTAAAAGATATACAATACAGACCAAGCGTTACCATAACATTAACACTCACCTCCAGAAGAAACTCTGGACGCTAGAAAAGATCCAATTTTTTAGGAATGTGAAAGCATAAGAACAGAAATAGTAACCAACAAATATTAAAAATGAAATGCAAGATATTAAAATTTAAAAAAATGTGAACGCTAATCCTGTAGCCAAAACAACTGTACATTTAATATTTTAAAGATAATAAATAGTAATAAAAATTATTGTTAACAATGATAATAATTAGCAACAAAAACATTTAATAACAATATTTTTATAATTATGAGTAATATTGCAAATAATAATTGTTAACCATAACACATATAAATAACGACTAGTAATTCAGGATTTTTTTTTTCAGGAAATAATATTCCTTCCTGTCATAAAAATTATGGAAAGCAATTTATTATCACCTGTGTGGTTTCAACCAAGGTTGTTGCACATTCATACAGATACTACAATTTGAAATCATGCTGGTTATAGCTCAAACTATAAATTAGATTACTGTACATTCTCAAAACATAATTTCCAGGCAAAAATTTTTTTTAAAAACTCTAGGGCTTAAGCCAGCCTGCGCTACTATTTAGAGATTCTTACCACAAAACCCCACATTAATTAAAGATACTCTCAATGATGAAACACCTCAAATACTTCATTGTATTAAAATTTTATTATGTTATTGCCTTTAACATAGTTTGTTTACTTTCTTGGTTGCTTTAGTTTGTTATTACGTTAAGTGCCTTTTGAATCTGATCATGAAAAGGGTGAATTTGGTGAATTTTTTTACTCCCAAAAAAATGTAATTATCTGCTAGCCAATCAAAGGGTCTACTGTAATGAATGTAGCATGGGAACAATATTACTTATTGCACAGCTGTTAATTGGTTAGGAATGTATTCTCTCAATCTTATTTTGAATAAGTCAATTTGTAGTTTTAACTATGCATGCCCATATCTAAGGTCAATGTAGGTTGTGTGTACCGTGTGTTTATGTTGACTGACCTTAATAAAGGCGTGTGCAGTTCAAACTATGAATTCATATTGAGAGCTAATACCTTTATACAGGTTTAGCTAAACACAGACAATCTTTAATATTTAAAAATATGTCTATCACTCAATTAAGTTATCCAATAAGCAATTAGAACAGACTTGGCGGCATAAGCGGGGGATGGGGGCTGAAGCCCTCCCAGCTCTAATCGTCAGGCAGTTGGACCGAAAAAAAAATCATAATAGGCCTATGATATAATGGTGGTGGTGACAACAATTAAGATAATAGTAGTAGTAATAAGAATAATATTAATAATAACAATAATTATTATTCTTTGATATTTTTGAAAAAAGTTGTAAAAAAATGAAAAACAAAAATAAAGGAGAAGTGTAAGACGCCAAGCCAATAGATGGTCAGAAAGGGCTCCTTCAGAGTCTGAAAGTGCCATTTCCGACCATCCAGAGGCCCCTATTTAAAAAAAAAAACTTTCCCCTCAGCTTGAGCATACAGCCCTTTGGATGTTATCCTTATCTCACTTTAGTTTCCCCTGTCGGACAGCTTAGCCCCCACAGAAAATATATCCTAAAGCCACCACTGAATTAGTATAGTTGCATATCATACATTATGTGGAAATTATTATATGAAGGAATTGTTTGAATGCATTAATCTAACCTAAGTATAAAAATATCCAAATATTGTATAGATAAGCAATATTCTGATTGTTTTCAAAGTAAATCGCCATCTTTTAATCAAACTGTTGCAGTAGTCATCGGTTGCTTTAGTGATATGATCAGTATATCTGTACTACATTTAGCTGTGCGTGCAGATTGTTGTTGTTGTAGACCCTAGCACAGCAGTGCAGTTGAAATGGTATGTACCTTCAGTACGATGAAAAAATATATTGTGTTTGAAGAACTTGTAATGAGTTTACTATTTTAGACATTCCTCAATAAAGAATCAAGAATTTGAGAGAATACAGTACCATGAATGCTCAAATAAGCGCCGCAGCGTTTTAAACATTTTTGGAGGCTTCAGTGCGGCGCTTATTCGAGAGCGAAAAAAATATTGGCATGGTGCATTTCATGTCCCATGTTACCTATTCATGTTTGACTTATAACAATTATTAGATTCCACACATATATTGATATTGTAGAAATGCAAGTTCATGATGGAGTCTTACCCTAGAGGTTCCTCCTGGGTCCATCACTCGTCGAATCTTGAGGATGTATACTTTAGGAGGGTCTTTCGCATGTACTTTTTCCTATCGGTCAAAAAATGAATACAATATATCATTATCATAATTATCATTATAATTATCATTATTAGCCATTCTTTGTGAGAATATATGGCTGCCAGTGATTAGTGTACCTCATATGGTATTTAAGAAAAATGCCAAATTAGAAAACACCTTTGTACAGACATGAATGATCTGGTTTACATTATGTAGGGTATAAAAAACACCATTATTAAGGTTTTTCTTTAGTAATGTTTAAAGACTGTTCGCACCTGATCACAGATAAGGTCCCATTTCTTGGTGTCGTCATACTGGCGTAATAATTTGGCTTTTTCAGGAGGCAAGTCCATCTGAACCTGAAATGAATAAATTAATAAGCAAAACATTATTTTTCAAATATTATTTCATCTAATTTGTGCCCTCAGATAGCAGCAGATTCCGTACTTCACCATCATTCAACAACTGTTTAAAATGCACCATAAGTGATCACAAGTCCCCCAAAAATTAGAACTGTTTCCCACACGCTCCAATGTAAGCACAAATTTCCTGTAGATTAACTTCTCCCCCCAAAAACTTTTACACATATATATTAAACTAAGGCATTAGTTATACTCTTCGTGAAGTTAGCTGGCCAAGTATCTTCACGTACCGCAAAATACAATAAGACGTGTTAAGAACTCATTCAACCAGATTTATTTATTTATTCTTTAAACTTTCTTTAATACCGTGTACTGGTTTTCAAAGTAGTATTACAAAACAAACCAGCAAAACAGGAAGAAAAAACAACACATAAAACAAAGTCAAAAGAAAATACAATGTAAAACTGATAAATTATTAAACTTTTAGAATGAAACTAATATCATTTCTTTAAAGTTCATTTCATCTTTTAGATGCATGATCTCTTAGAAATATTAGCTTCTACCAACTTGGGACACACAACCAAGAAATGGTTTAAAATTGCAAATTTTGGGACCTATAAACCTCTATAATTTTTTACATCAGCTTTTAGAAATGTTATTACTTGTGCTTATTCACTATCCTCTGAAATTCCGAACCAGCTTCTAGATGATGCATGTAGTGGATTAAAAACATCAAAGTCTGTACATACAGACTTTGATGTTTTTGACTTTGACTTCAACCAGGCCTATGATTATTTCTTCTCTGTCTACAAGCAAGAGCCATTTTATATTATACAAATACAAGGATAATAATGCGAAGAACTCCTGTAGGAATCATCCTAATCATGTGCTTATGCAATACATTAAAAGTCCCTGTAGCCAAATTTGGATGGAGCAATATACCTACTCACAACGGCCATAGGCGTATGATTTCTAGATGAGCTATACTCTCTTTGCATTTGTATAAAATAATATAGAATGATGACTGAGGTAGATGGTCTTCTACATAAATATGGTGATGTATCATTACAAAGACCGTGTTTGTTTGAACCAAGTGCTTCCAGGATGATACTGACAATAAAATTTGACTTTTTCAGAAGAGAAGTGTTGCAGTATCACGCACAGCTACATTTAAAAATTCACACTCCAGGTTCTAAAACTTATAAAATTACCGTTGTTCATTGCGTGTCTGCATCAAATTCATCTAATAAAGGTAACAAACTTTAACTAGAATTACTGTAGGAGATACTACGTACATATACTTCATTCAACACTCCATAGTCTTTATAAGTGCTGAATTTAAGGTTAATATAAATACATATAGAATGTATTTAGAATTACTATTAACCTTAAATAGAAATACATATAGAATGTTCAGAGTTATTGGAAAGATATTTTTTTTCTGAAGGCCAGTCGTATTTACACTATAATACAATATATTACACCAAGTACAACTGCCTTTTCAAACATGGAGAAAAAAAAGATAGTCAGTAACGACAAGAAGGATTAAAGCACACAATAACTCTTTATAACCTCTGTCTATAGTCCTAATGCCAAGTCTAGTAGGTTAATCTTTGGCAATTCAGTGTGTTTTTGTAATCACTGGCACCAGAATATACTTCAGAGTATGAATTGTCTTATTTGTTGTACGTTTATCATATATTTCAGAGGAAACTAAACAAGGCCAAGAGCAATTGGAAGTGGGAAGATGGGGAAACCTTGGGCATTTGTCAATTTATTATTGAGTTTGTGGTTACAGATTATTACTATGCTGACAAAATTATGTAATTGTAAATGTTTCCTCTGACTGTATAAAATTTCACTTTTTCCTAATTTTCTGTAACATTACATTCTTGATTTGTTATCAATATAGAAGATCCATGTTCGCATGCATTAATACATTAAAACGCAGCATCACTTAGCCATGTCAAAATGAAATTGATGATCTTTCTTTTCCCAAATATTTAGATTTGTCTCATGCATGGTATAAACAGACACTAGTATAATACTGCATTTGCAGTAGTGTAAAGATTCTGTCTATTTTAGAAATGGTGGTGCAACCATGACTTCTATTAACTATCCAAATATGTGGCGGTGTTAAGGAGAAACAGTCGGAAATCGTGTTGGCCCGTTTTGAAATATAGGCCAAAACAATAGTAGAGTTTAATATTTTCACCAGAATCATGTAGTTTTAATTAAATAAACGTATTCACTCAACAGTTTTTTAATTATTTACCTTAAAATGCCAAAAATCATGATATCAGAGAGCCGCTATAACCCGGAAGTATGAAAAATTACATTTGTCTACCCCATAAAACACTCGCGAAATCATCATTATACGTATTTATTACCAAACATGTTTTAAAGCCAGCATGTCATGCTTAGCATCACTCTAAAGCTACAGTCAACTCTCCCAATACCGACCACCCAGAAAACCGTAACTGTATTAAAATACTTTCTGAAAACCGGATCTCCCAATTCCGAATTCCGGCCAAATTCTTAAGTCCGGAACAATAAAATTACTTTCTGAAAACCGGACGGCCAGTTTAAAACGATGATTTATTGATGAAATGTTAAATAAATCATTGGAGACACATCGACTGACTCCAAATAACAACTATCAATCACAGAACAACACCATGTGTACGATCGTTAGTGTTGATCGTGTGACACGCCGATAGTGCATTAATTAATTAATTGCAATAAGCCTAGATTTCATTTGTTTAATAAACTGATAAAAAAAAGTTCATGAGTGTGTTTTCTTTATTAAGGAACGTATCCTTTTCTCACATTTTGCATTCCTTCTCACGCTAAGGCAAACCAAGTGGTCCCAACATAAGGCTATCGATTTCATAAAAACAATTGCGCATGACACTTTGACTGTCACCTCTGACTGTTTTCTATTGGCTGACGCAGTTTAGGGGGCGCTGCATAAGTTAGCACTTATTTTTAGCATTCAGTGGCCCACCAAGATTATGCCAGCGGCATCGAAAACCAATCAAGCGTGCAACCACGTTGAAGCGAAGCAGATTATGGCGATCGAACGAAAAATAACACTGACACTTATTATAAATTACGATACACATTAAGTTGATTTGTGTAAATTTTTATTGATAATAGACTTCGACACAAAAAAATAGGTACGTACAACATAAATAATGTAAAAATAAAGTAAAGCATGAATTTTAAATGACGTTCTCAGGTCAGTAGGCCTACACAGTACATGATGCAGTGTGGTGTACCTATCTGCTGTACCTTGTTAGGCCTAGGCTTTTATATCGACTCAAGGTCGGGGAACCAAGGTAGGTAAACATGACGTTCTCTCAACCGGTCCGTCCGGAAAACCGGTCAAAGTGAATGGTCCGAAGGGTGGTCGGTATTGGGAGAGTTGACTGTATTTTATAAGCTCGATTATGGTTGGTCAATTGATTGTGATAATTTTTATTTTCAACAGTTAAAATCAGGTTCTTTTTATGTATACAAACCCAAGCTCTCCTTGACGAGGACTATGAGAACGGCCCGCTGATTGGTTGATTTATTTCATCATTTTATTACTCACTGCACATGCTCTGTGCGAGCGTGAATGCTTCCTCCTTTATTGTTTGCATACAATTTTGGTTTAATAATAATTTAAATTTAGCAGCATATATAGCTTAAAATAATTAGTGAATGTGTTGAAGTTTACAAATTTTGCTCAGAATTTACAGGAGGCCTAATCATGCTATAACATATTTCACTGATTTCGAATCTTCACAAGACTTGGCAAAAGTGTTTGAAATATTATAATAAACAAATGTGCCAAATTTCAGCAGATTTAGAATAAGTTAAGAAGTAAAGTAAGTTACCCAAACCGCAAGTCGGCTAGGCCGGTAGCACGCCCGGTTTAAACGATGACAATGTTTATCATCGTTTTTGTTGCTTACACATTTCACAGTCTTTGCATATAGATAGTTATTAAGTTATAACAATTCAATTGGAAGTACATTCTTTACAATAAACAGATATTAAAATCATAAAATTTCTATGCATAGACAGTCACCCACTAAAATTGGCTGGGATTCAATACAAAGACTTGTGTCTGGGATTCAGAGCCAAAGCATGTTTTGATCTGTGTCTGATCATGGCCTAATGTTCTATCCACACTATCAGATTTTCTTTTGATGTTATATGCTCATATATAGTCATGATGTGCCTATACATGGTAATAATGTGATGTCATCATGACTATATTTAGGCATGTCACATGTTTTTATCAAATAAAATTTGATAGCTTAGATTTAATTGAAGTTTACAATATATCTGATACTTTTAAAGTGGATTAAAATTAACCTTTTTTTTTTTTTTTTTAATTATTTTCATGTATTTTTTTCTTATACAGTATTAGCTGAGATGGTATTAAAGTGGAGTCCTTTACCCGGGTTTCTTTCTAAAAAAAAATTCCCCTGTTCTCTGTGAAATTCCAAGCTGTCCAGCTATTAACCTAATAATTTCCAGCACTAGTTAGTATGTTTAGATCCGGAACAAGTTCTAGTCGATTTTTTCCACATGAGCTACTTTCATACATTTGATATGGGAAGCTATGTCTCTAATAAACTTATGCTGAATATATTTACTTTTATATTAGTTTCAAAAGTGCAGTATTTTCAATCATTATTCAAAAATAAAAAAAAAGTAAAGGTTATTTTCCACTAGGCGAATCAAAAGCATTGGTTTAAGCACATGCTCATTTACATTTTTATCAGAGTTTTTTTTGCTTCAGCAAAATTAGTAGTTTGAAATGTTTCTACTGTTTCTTAAGTGAAAAAAATGCGCAACCAATCAGAGCTCAGGAAGCCAACCGACACTTTTGATTCGCATAACTAAATTTCGCCTAGTTGAAAAAATCCCTTAAGAGGTAATTTTAGTAGTCTGAACAACTAGAAGATTATTCAGATTTATGTTGCATTTTTAAAATTTGAAATGAAACCAGATAAAATGTTATCATTAAACAAACTAATAAATCCTCAACAATTAACTGGAATTGGAAATTTTCAAAAGAACGATTGAACAGCAGACAGCTAATAATTTTCAAAAACAACACAACAGATTGTATCTTCATCATAAGCAAAGCCTATATTTATTCCAATATATTATGGCCTTAAACGGCCCCAACAAGACATGTTGGGGCCGTTGTATTGGAAATTTTGAATTGACATTCAACCATGATAAGAGAGCAGTGTCATTGACTTACATGTGTATTCCAAGCAGCCATTTGCTGTCTACGTGATAAGAACTCCGTAGAAGGTATACTCTCAATAATGTGCACACTATGTGTCTTCTGCTCCACGGCTGGGTCACGACTCTTTCGTCTACCACGCGCCGAAAAGGCACGTCTGCGTGGAATGGACGAGTCTCGTCGCATCTTCACAGTTTTTACAGGAGTAGTAGTTGCTGGAGCAGCTCGACTTTGATTTGATCCCATTGTCAGTATATTCCTGTTATAACGCTACTGAGAACAGCCAACCAACAAAATATTTGTCACCAACGCACCAACAAACCACAACTCCAGGTGGAGGAGGGGGAGGGGGATACTTATTAACTTCCTGTAGGTTTCAAAGTTGAAGTTCTGTTCTATCTTACTCCGGAAATGTGAGAAAAAAACTAAAGTACTCTATCCAAAGCTACAAAATAAAATCCATATGTGCTAGACATCAGTTCTCAGACAGTAATTTCCAGCCTCATTTACAGAAGCCAATATAATGTATAGTAAAAGATTCCAAATTCACTTAATCACATTAGCAAGGTATCTATTGAGTAAAGTTTAACAGAACAGAGGATGTCTTCAATTAAGATCCTAACCAGTCACAATCTACACAGGAAACTTGAAAAGTCGTCTCAAATTGTTTGCTTCCATGTTATCGGATTGTTTTAGGCTAAAAACGTTAACGATTTAAAAATTGCACTGCCGGTTGCATATTTACCGCCGTCTGTAGTCAATCTTGCTACTACTTACGGATTTCAACACGGTTTAATGAAATTAACACGTTCAACGATCGAAAAACATTGGTGTGGTGATTTCAACATTAAAACAAAAACTTATCTCTTTGACGTGCACAGATTCCAAAGTGTTACGATCTTTGCATCAAAATAGAAGTTAAGAAAGTATTCCCTCGTGAAGTTGTTATCTTGTTGACTACTGCTGTTGTACGAGCCTTCTAAGTGATCACCTGACTGTGTAATCCAATCAAACTCAAATTTAATCCAAAAGGAGTACTTGCTCTACAGAACAATGACGTTAAATACATCCCGTTTGGATGTTAGTCATTTAGGTTGGACTTATGACGTTTGCACTGCACAGTTAACGTAGGAGGGAGTTTTTGCAACAGAAAGTCTGGGTGAGGAAATCGTCACTTCAAGAAAGAATAATAATTCACAATTTATACTAAAACAGAATACTTTCTCCAGTTGCTTGTGTCCCGGCTTGTGTGGTTTTTGCAACAGAAAGTCTAGGTGAGGAAATCGTCATTTTTTGAAAGAATAATTATTCACCATCCAAACTAAAACAGGATACTTTATCCAGTCGCTTGTCCACACCTGCTGGAATTGTTCACAGATATAAACTTCAATTTGATTTACAAGCTCACACTTAAAGGGTTTAATTTTTCCAGACTGAGAAAAAATTTGTATCTATAACTGAGATGATCCAGGCACAACCACCAGCTGATCAACCTCAGCTGCGTCTTCAGTCGAGATAAAAATCTATAACTGTCATTGTGTTTGCTCTCCTCAATGTTGATTCATAGTGGTACATGGACGATTGTCACAGCGACGAACTTAATAAGTATAGATTTAGTTCGTGTTTCAATATAGGCCAACCAGCATGTTATATACCACCACAACCTTGTCTTTTCACACCTTTCGATAAACGACAAAGCTAGTCTATGTGTGTTTCCTTAGCACTTTATCTGCATAATTAAAAACCAATAGCTGATAAAGGTCTTTGCTAAAACTTCAGGATGTGTTGGTAGAACAATATTAAATATCAAAGCCTTGACCAAGTGATCCATAAAATCACAACAATACAAAGGTAGACATTACTGTACATCAATTAATTACAATAAAATTTGATTCCTTGTTTCAGTCTTCTTTTGATTTTCAATGTTGTCAACAAGTCACCCCATTAAAAAATCTTTTTTTAGGATTTTATGAAAATTGCTCTTGCGCAGTTCAGAGACTACACTTGATTCTGTAGTGACTATGTACTACAAAGTTTTGAGCAATAAACAACATAGCAATAGCATCAGCAGATGATATTTCCAGACAATGTAAGTGAAAATTATTTGGTGCAACATCAAAAAATTATAAATTCAGAAGAGTACATACAGTAGCACAAGAAATTTACCCTTGTGCAAAACTCCTTGCAAACTGACTAGATCTTTAAACAAAAAAGCAATGTTCAGATATTTTCTAGACTACAGTACCCCAAAGTCCATTTACAATGCATCATCAAAACTAGATTGAGATCGAACTACGGTAAAAAGCTCCGATGCTCCTCTCCTCAATTGCTTACGAATACATGGTATGGTAGATGCCTCACTATCCTCTATGAGGTAGGATACCCAAGTTTCCTCAATCTCGTACTGTATAAAGCTCAGAATAGAAGAATACAATGTGTTTGTGCCTCATTAGTATCCTCTTCACAATGGCTCCAGGTAGAATACACAAGGGTTATAAGACGCTTTACCTGTCCGACCAGCTAGCACTAAAATGTATTTCTGTACTTCCTCTAATCTCCTTACGTTTGTTAGAATCCTGTAATTGTTATTGTTCAGCCGAGTCAATTAATATTGTATCCTTCCTTTATTGTTCTAAATACCAACTTCCTCAAATAAAACAAAGTATTGCCTTTGACGTATACTTTAGGCACATCTGCAGTACCTATATCTTTACATTTTCTATTGAGGACATTTTTCTAGGATATGTTTTCATTTACATACAACTCTTAATTTTAATTTCTAATATCATACTTGTTTCAAAATGATAAATATTTCAAGGGCGTAAGCTGGGAGTGGGTCACCCTCCCATGGCGACAAATTAGTTCTACTAAGTGGGTTAAAATAAAGTTTTCATACAAATAGGGATTTAGTTCCGCATTGCTTTTCCATTAGCCAGGCTCTGACTTGATCCCTCTGATTTTTTTTTATGAGATACTAGTGAAACAATTATAAAAAAAATAAATAAATGGCCAGTAAACTAACAATAACTACCAGTCCATAAAAAAAAAAACAACAATCTTTATTTACATAACAACTGGAATGGAAAGTATTTAATAAAAAAAAAAATCTTCCACAGGGACAGTAAAAAAACTAATAATATAAGTCAACAAAATAAAAACAATTAAATATTGCCTAAAAAATTTAGTGTGATGCAATATTAAACAAGTTAAATAATAACAATAAAGAACATGATTAGTTTATCACCCTCACCTACATATCTACTATAGTATTGAAGAAAAAGAACATTTTGCATTTTATTTTTTCATATATTGTTTTTCTTTTTTTTAAATAATTATAGTATTGAAGAAAAAGAACATTTTGGATTTTATTTTTTTTTTTATTTACTATTATTAATTTTTTTAAAATAAATAGTTAAAAGATATTGTTTGTATTATGTAAATCATGCATTTTCCTTATCACTGTTCCAGCCTAGATAGGATGAAAAACTAATATTTCAGGCCTAATTGCTCAAAAGATAAATTTTATGAACCACAGTGTATAAAAACTGAAATCGTTTTATTGGTGATGTCATTGCTATAATACTAACAATGACATCAGTCTGTTCTTGCCAACTCTATGACCACATGACGTATGACCACAGAGTTCATTTTTCTTGACCTCGAGTTATAAATCAAAAAACAAAACTATAGAGGGTGCCCTTCAACCTTCTGTTTTTCACATTTATTAACTTGTGTTGATGTATATCAGATTGCATTCCTGGCATACCACAAGGACTCACACTGATAATGATATCAGAATAAATAATGTTTCTTGCTGATAGATATGGACAGACTCAAATTAACTTCGCCAAAACGTTTATAAAATATGAATACATTCAAAGTTACAATTTAAATTATAAAAGGCACAGACTTTGAAACTGAAAATATTTTGATAATGAATGTGGAAACACATCTTAAATCAACCAGAAAATTGATTAAATAATAGTACCCAATGAAAAACTAATGAATGGATGATCATATTGATTTTTGTGATCAACTATTATAAATTTTACTGTTACTGTTAACATAATAACCAAAGAAAGAGATAATAAATTTTTGAAAGTCAAGGTCACAGAAATTTGATTTTTTTTACATGAAGAAGATAATGGAATCACCCATCATACGTTGGATATTCAGGCACAGGATGGAAAATAATGGAATGCCGCCCCAAAACTATGGAATGGTCTTCCTCATTACATCAAATCAGCTGTTTCTATCGAGTCTTTTAAAACCCTACTAAAAACTTTTCTGTTTAACTAACGCTGAATACGTATGATATGTTTTCCTTTATTTCATCTGGGGTGGTTTTTAAAAAATTATTAATGATGCAATGCTATCGTTTGTGGGGTGTCCAGAGCTGGGCCCCACCTGTTCCTTACTCGAGACAACGTTGTTGTCTTTTGCAGTGCACGATAGTAGAGCCGAGGGCTTATTCTGAGGTGGAAGCTACCGGAGCCCGGCATAATGCTTAACAGAGTGAATGCGTGCACCTGGGTGGGACAGCGACGTTGCTTTCGACATCGGTGGGTGGAGCCCTGTTTTGGATACTTATACCGATAGTGCAAATGCTTTTTCGGAACTGTTTTAGTTTAATTACCGTAGTTTAAGTCAAAATAATTTACTGCTTGTTTTTATTTTTTTTTCTTTTTGTAAATGCATTGAGGTTTTTGGGCCTGTGTTTTGTTCGGTATTCAGGCACAGGGCAGGGGCATGCAATCTATGGAGTGAATGCTCCACTTGCCCTAGTATTTTGGATGTATTTGCTATCTTTTTGAAATGCACAACCGTTTGTTCACATCACTGTATCAATCTGACCATGAAGTCTACCATTCAGTGAAAATGCTAATCAAGCGGTTTTAGATATTTTTTTTTTTTTTTGACATAGCTCCTGAAATACCCCGATATATTAAATGCGACAAAGAGGTATACTGATGGTGATGATGCAACAAACTTTAGTGACGAAGCTTTGAAGAACAAAACCTCATCAAATATAGATAATAATTTTCAAAATGTGCTACATTATTTTTAATTAAGATATAAAATAGATCATTATATCATGCGGTAAGTGTAATTTAAGTTGACCTAAAATGAAATTACAAAAAAAAACAAAATTTAGTGTCAATTTGGTTTATCGTAATGTTGGTGTATTTACCGCAAATTTATAAACCTAAATATTTATTCCTAAATCATAATTTATGCATATGAGTGTTTACCGAACATACATACTTTATTTATGAAGGTAGAGTGATGTAGTGAACATATGGTTATGACAGCTTTCATGGAATAGTCATGATTCCAGTATTGCAGAAAATAACATATGGTACACTAGTCCTTTTTTTTAATTTGCTGTATTAACTTTCTATCTAACTTTATTATCAGTTCACATAAAAAATAGATTAGCAGCATATGCTGAATGAAAGTATTTAAACAAACTTGAAATTTTACAAAAAGACTACTGGTTCTGTTAGCAAATATCTTACATAGAGAACTTCCATGTCAAGAGATAGGTTCCAGCCCTAATTCTTCAAGAGAAATTTTATAGTGGCAAGTATATTACCAAGGATAGACCGACCAACACGACAACATTAAATAACTATGTATGTTGTTAATCTACTGAATGAAGACAAAGTATTTTGCCCCACCAACGTTTCTTACAAAATATGGTCTTTACACTAGTCATTTTTAACAGGCTTCTGCGTATCTGCATTGCTTACTTGACTCAACTTCACAAAGTAAGGTGGAGTTAGTGGGACTTCATATTTAAAAAAGATTTCTATTCTAATTGGAAAAACAAGGACTAGAAGTTGTTGGGTTTAGCAGTTGCTGTTATACTTTCTCAACCTCAATGTCGCGGTTAATTCCTCGCTCTGCATTTTGCTCTAGTCCTTGAGCAAGGCGCTTTGCTCATGGCGTGCCTCTCTCCAGAAGTAGGGGCATATCTAGAAGTCTTGAAATGAGGGTGCTGATGGGAGAGTGGGGGGCGTGAA